TAGTCTTTCTAGATAAAAATTGAAAGAACTGCGGATGCTGGAAATCAGAGACATAAACAGAAATTGCTGAAAAAGCTTAGCAGGTCTGGCAGCATCTGTGGACAGAAATCATTTCTCTCCACAGATGCTGCCAGACCTGTTGAGCATTTCCAGCAATTTCTATTATAGTCTTCCTAGATTCTGACTTACACTTGTAGCTACTGTATTTATATGGCTAGTCCAGTTCAGTTTCTTACGAATAATAACACCCCAGGATGTAAACAGTAGGGGATACAGTAGGAGGTAACACCTCTGAATGTCAAGGAGCAGTGACTAGATTGTTTCTTATTAGAGATGATCATTCCCTTGCATTTGTGTGGCATCAATATTACTTGCCACATCTCAGCCCAAGCCAGGATATTGTCCAGGTCTTGCTGCATTTGGACATGCACTGCTTCAGTATCTGGGGACTTGTATTAATTACAGAACAGCCCTTTACAAACTGAGAAGAAACAGAACACTTTTTGTATAGTACCTAAAACACCCCTGCTACAGCATCCAAAACACCACTTATATAATTCTCACATCAGTATCCATGTGTCGGTAGGCTAAGTTACTTGGAACTCGAATTTTTAAACTGGAACTGTGATAACTTCTTCCTGGAGCTATCGTACACTTATTGTACTCAGCTTTAATAACCACTCCCTGCTTTTTCTCTGGTTTGAAACCAACACTAATTCTTCACTTTAAGGACCTAACTCACTAGATCCTTTTCTTCTCAGGAGCACTGCTCTATACCAACGTCCTGTACCAAAGTATTCACAGGTCCAAAACATTACCCAAAGTTAAAAGTGAAACTAAAAGTCTCTCCATCATAGGTGTTTAACCTAAGCTTAACAAAAAACAGATTCTGAAACTGTCTAATAAATACTGAGGCCCCATTATTTACCATGCTGGGGTGGAATCAAAAGTAAACAAATGTCCATTAGTGAACAAGATCCATGCACTTCACAATCAAGCTTCAAAAGTAGTTTTTTAAAAAAATCAACATGGTTGCAAAATACTTACAAGCTCATGATTAACTCCAGACACCAAAACAGAGAACAGTTATTAGCTCACTCACAGAAAACCAAGCTTGCAGCAACATTAAATATTGTACATATAAATCCCATAGATTATGTCAGATGGGATCCGACCTTTCATAGTGCAATCCCTTGCCTTGTTAGCTTTTCCCAAGTGCATGACCTCACAATTTTTTAGGTTGAATTCCGTTTGCTACTACTCTGCCTAAAAAGGGGGCATTTGGCTCAGTGGTTAGCACTGCTGCCTCACAGCACCGGGGACCCAGGTTTGACTCCTGCCTCAGGCAACCATCTGTGTGGAGTTTGCACGTTCTCTCTGTGTCTGCATGGGTTTCCTCGGATGCTCCAGTTTCGTCCCACAGTCCAAAAATGTGCAGGTTAGGTGGATTGGCCATGCTAAATTTCCCATAGTATCTAGGGATGTGCAGGCTAGGTGGATTAGCCATGGGAAATGCACAGTAAGGGGGTTGGGTCTGGGTAGGACCCTCTTTGGAGGGTTGGTGTACACTTGATGGGCCACATAACCTGCTTCCAGCCTGTAGGGATGCTATGATCAATGCCACAGTGTGAAAACTAAAACTAATTAATGTTTGTGCCTTCAACTCCTCTGCCTTATTCCTCAGGCTTCTTGCATTAAAATATATTCCATTTAGCCTTGCTAAATTCACTTTTTTCTTAGTTAGCCTATTTCTTTTGCATTCCAGACTCACTTACTAATGCTCTCACTTCTAATTCCATATTGGCTTCTCTCCCCTTTGAACCATTCTTAGCTGCTTCATCAATAACCTTCCCTTCTTCATATGGTCAGAAGTGGGGATGTTTGCTGATAATTGAACAATGTTCAGCAACATTTGTGGCACCTCAGATACTGAAGCAGTCAATGTCTAAATGCAGCAAGAACTGGACAATCTCCAGACTGGCTGAAAAGTGGCGAGTAACATTTACGGCCCATAGATGCCAAGGAAAGACCATCTCCAACAGGAGAGAAACCAACCATCACTATCATCATCCCTTGACATTCTATGGTGCAGCCATCATTGAATCCCCACCACAACAACCTGGGGCGTGTTACCATTGATCAGAAACTGAATTAGACTAATCATTTAAATTCAGTGGCTACAAGAGCAGTTTGGAGGCTAGGGATTATGCAGTGAGTAACTCATCTCCTACTTCCAAACGCCTGTCCATTATCTACAAGTACTAGTCACGAGTATCATGGAATATTCCCCACTTGCCTGGATGAGTGCAGATTCAAGTGCACAGTCAAGAAACTTGATATCATCCCGGACAAAACAATCCACTTGATTAGTACCACATGCACAAATACCAATTCCTTCAAACACCAAGCTCAGTAGCAGCAATGTGTAACATCTACAAGGTGCGATGTCAAAATTGACCAAGGCTCCTTATACAACAATTTCTAAAACTGATGACCACTTCCATCCAGAAAGACAGGGGTAGCAGGTACATTGGAACACTGCTACCTGAAAATTCCTTTCCAAGCCACTTATTATGCTGACTTATATCACCATTCCTTTAGTGTCACTGGATCAAATTCTGGAACTCCTTCCCTAATACATTCATGGGTCTACCTACTGAGCACATACTGCAGTAGTTTGAGAAGGAAGCAATGTGGTACGGACAATAAATGCTAGTCCAGCCAGCAAGGCCCACATCTCTCCCCAGAAATGGTTCTAATGCCTCAAGAATCTAAAGTTTACCTTCTGCCTCATCTCTCCAGCCAAGCATTTATCTGCTCTAGCCTTGTATTCCTGTACTCCCTACTATGTGTCACAGGCACTGATCAGAGTTTACTACCTTCGAAGGCCTGCTTTTCAATTTCCTACCTAACTCCAAAATTCTGCTTGGATTGAATTTATTTAGGTGCATAAAGAATTTATTTGATGCAGTTGAGGATCAAACATTGAAAATCCATCATTCACATAACTGAAGTCGGCACGGGATAGGAAGTTAGTGATCACTCCATTAAAAACATGCTTCCTATGGTAACCAAGAAAATGTGAGCAAAACCTAGGCCTAGTGGAGATCCCATGGCAACACTATCTATTTAGGCTTATGTGGTGTCGTTAAAAGTGAACTCAACTGTGTGAATTGCTAAGTTCATGGGTTCTATGAAAACAAATTTGGATACCTATGGCACATCTATATTGCCACAATATAGTGGCATAGGGCAAATATCAATGCCTTCCTTGAGTAGTATGCTGGTGAATAGGCTAGCAATGTCAAAAGACCAGATAGCACAGAATTGGTCTCAATATGTAGCTCTTATATGATCTATGTGAAAGAGAAGATATCTTTCACAGAGTATGCTGAAAATTTAAAACATTTCAATTGATTTTCAGTTCTGGCCATAGCTCACAGTGACTCCAAGTTCTGCACTGCAGTGATCATTACAAGATTCTCAAATTCCATTTCCATACTTTTATCCTAACTTTTACAAAAGATGAAATGTGACTTACAACACCAATGGTATTAATGCATCACCATAACCTTACTTCTATGTTGAGATTCAATTACAAGAACTTTGGCTGTGAAAACACGCCCTATATACAGTATAATCCGACAGAAAACAACTGCATAATCACAGCCCAACTTGTCACTGAATACAAAGCCTAATAGTTTCAACAACAGGAGTTATTAAAGTCACCGATACAGAAACATCAGGATGAACCAAACTGAAATACGAAACCATTATTTATAAAATGACCTCAGGAGCGATTGAACCAGTCTTTGTGACATCATTTTGTGACAGAACAATTTTAATCGTTGTGGAATGTACTAAATAATCCTATTTCCATACTGCTGCTATAACTTGTCAGCATTCAAATTTTGGATGAAAAGTACATCATAAAAAGTGCAATACTCAAATAAACTTCAACGTAATGTAACTTCAAATAATGTTCAAAACCTAAAGCATAACAGTAATTCAATGTGATTTATTTATTTGCTAGCAATGTTTTTATATTATAGAAAAACCATAAGGCCACAAATCTGTGTAAAGTGCATAATCAGTTCAGACAGTTTCTAAAAGGAAAAAACTGAAAGAACAGCAGATGCTGCAAATCAGGAACAAAAACAAAGTTGCTGGAAAAGCTCAAAAGTTCCAGATGCTGCCAGACCTGCTGAGCTTTTCCAGGAACTTTGTTTTTGTTCCAGTTTTTAAAAGGAATCTCCTAAGCGACTTAACATTTTTAAGGTAAATTTAGGTACCTGTTTTAGATTGTTCAAAATACCCTTGCTTATTTAATTAAGTAGCAGACCCATTGAAAGTCTGCTGAGCATTATAGGTCTCTAGCTTAAAGTGGGACCTTGAACCTATGGTTCTAACTAAAAACAAATTACTCGTGAATTCTCCACTACAAAACTACGTTAACTTCATAACGCAACAGCATCTGACTTTCCAGAACATCACCCTTCAAAAACAATTTGGATATTGTTACGTAACTTTTCACTGATCGTCGATTTGTTTTAATATTGGATTAATGATCCATTTGATATTTAAGCACCAAGCGCGGCAGCTTGCGTCAGGCCTTCAATGCCACCTCAAAGTGTGAAAGTTCATGGCCAACCGGAGTTAGTATGCACGATTCTACCAGCACAGGGTGTCAGCACTTCTAATTTTCACAATAATCTTTACTGATAAATATTTAAACAAAAAGAAAGCCTTCATTTAGTGTAACATTTTGCATAAAAATACCTTGCGCCGTGTTTTTTTTACAGCATTGTACACAACAAAGACATCCACGGTATATGCGGTTTGTATAACATAACCTCAGTGATACAATGCTGGTCCCTTTTCCAGGAATGCTTAAAGGACCCATTAGCTAATTTCTGAAACATAAGAGAAAATATGAATTCCAAAACAGTCTGTAGGTGTGATATGCAATCAGGCGTTTTATGTTTTCTTACAATACTCACCGATTCTCTCGGTTTCTGGGCTAAGATGGCGATAGTGGCCAGTTGATTACAAAGACATTTCGTGTGTGATGTTTGTGTTTGCACCGTTTCACATCCCTGAGGGTCCCAGCTCCCTGGATCAGAATCTCTGTGATAAAACAGACAGGGAGGGAGAGACAGAAACGAGACATCAGACCGCAGCCTAATTTTATTTTGCTTAAATGAGCGACCACCTAAGCACTGTTCATTGATAAAAAGGAAACGGGCAATACGCACTGATATCAAGTGTTAGATCAATCGTTAAGCAGACGTAATCCTAACACTCGCGTATCGCCATAGGGCTCCCGCACTCACTTCCATAAAAAAGCTCTTTAATGAAAATATCCTTTCAGATCATGTTTAGTCTTTTTCTCTTCAATTTCACCATCTCTGTCACTTCTCCCAACAACTTCTTTCCCACACTGCTCTCAGTGTGAGTGAAAGCACCGCTAGTAATGAAAACATTCGCCGGCACTCGCTCAGTGCTCAACCGAGAGCCGCTAAAACCACGATCGCTCCCAGTCATCATCTGTCTGGGCTATGGATCGGCAGCTCCATCGATTCTCTCCCCCTCCTGCCAGCAAATGTCTTTGCAAATGGCCTAGACTCAGGCACCACTCATGCTGCTTGAACTAAGTACTTACGGACTGAAGTATCAGTAACAGCGGATAGTTTGGGGATTAAATCGAGCAAGGAATATAATGCAATCCATCATCGTTTCAATGACGACCGTCCGCCAGCATCAAACCAGAGCATCTGCCAACCGTTCCCAACTGGACACGGTTTGATTCCGTGGCAATACAATCTACCCGATTCTAATGTAGCTGTTTTGGAAAACAGACGGTTGCGAAGGATCGTAGATCCTCATTTAGCCCTGACAGCTGAAGCAACATATGTCAAGAGAAAGACCAACATGAACTTCCAGGTCACAATTTTCTCTGACCTTTTGACCAAAGGAATAAATCTCCCCAAAAGTTAAGACGACCAAATAATTAGGGATGGTGCAAACAATGCCTACTATGTTTTACAAGGGTTTTACAGGTCTTCTCCCTGAGTACAAAGAGACAAACTGAAATAACCCATATTGCAATGGCAGGGCTGAAATGAAAACTACCTTCACATCCTTCCTCAATCGAGATACCCATAACCCAGACACAATACTCCAGTTGAGGGGCACCAATGTTCTATACAAGTTAAATATAATTTCTTTCTTTTTGTACTCTATCCCTCCATTAATTATGTTGTGATTCCAGACCAGACAATTATCTTTGTGTTATGATCTGATTTGAGATCAACAAACAATTGCTTTTAGACAAGATGTGATATCCAAGCAAATGCCACAGTATGAAGCCACAAGATTCCACACAAAGGACCACACTTTATCATACATGCTGGAAAGTAAAAGTCACTGGTAGTCACAGCTGTTTTATTACACAGACATGATTGGTGGTGAGTTTAACCTGAGGGTCATCGTGCTTCAGAGGAGGGGGCCAGATTGAGAAGGTGGGGCCTTGATGGTTGCCTAGTGCTGTAAATACAATCTATGTTACATGTACAACTTGTTTCGAACACATTAAATTAACATGTGGTAAATATGCCAAAGTACTTGTTAAATATCAAATGCAGTCAAGTGAAATCCCTTGGATTTCTAAGCAACTCGCCCCAAAACGTTAATGAACATAATAAGAACATAAGAACTAGGAGCAGGAGTAGGCCATCTGGCCCCTCGAGCCTGCCCCGCCATTTAATAAGATCATGGCTGATCTTTTTGAGACTCAGCTCCACATACCTGCCCACTCACCATAACCCTTAATTCCATTACTGTTCAAAAGTTTATCTAGCCTTGCCTTAAAAACATTCAGCGAGATAGCTTCAACCACTTCACTGGGCAGGGAATTCCACAGATTCACAACCCTTTGGGTGAAGAAGTTCCTCCTGACCTCAGTCCTGTAGCTGCTTCCCTTTATTTTGAGGCAATGCCCTCTAGTCCTAGTTTCACCTGCTAGAGGAAACAACCTTCCTGCCTCCACCTTATCTATTCCCTTCATAATCTTATATGTTTCTATAAGATCTCCCCTCATTCTTCTGAATTCCAATGAGTATAATCCCAGTCTACTCAGTCTGTCCTGATAATCCAACGCTCTCAACTCTGGAATCAACCGAGTGAATCTCCTCTGCATCCCCTCCAGTGCTAGTATATCTCTTCTCAAGTAAGGAGACCAAAACTGCACACAGTACTCCAGGTGTGGCCTCACCAGGACCCTATACAGCTGCAGCATAGCCTCCCTGTTTTTAAACTCCATCCCGCTAGCAATGGCAGACAAAATTCCATTTGCCTTTTTAATTACCTGCTGCACCTGCAATCCTACTTTTAGCGATTCATGCACGAGGACACCCAAGTCCCTCTGCACAGCAGCGTGCTGCAATTTTTTACCATTTAAAACATAGTCCATATTGCTGTTATTCCTACCAAAATGGATGACCTCACACTTATCAACATTGTACTCCATCTGCCAGACCTTTGCTCACTCACTTAGACTATCTATATCCCTCTGCAGACTTTCAGTGTCTTCTGCACACTTTGCTCTACCACTCACCTTAGTGTCATCTGCAAATTTTGACACACCACACTTAGTCCCTAAATCCAAATCATCTATGTAAATTGTAAACAATTGAGGTCCCAAAACTGATCCCTGAGGCATACCACTAGCCACTGACCGCCAACCAGAAAAACACCCATTTACCCCTACTCTTTGTTTTCTACTGGTCAACCAATCCTCTATCTATGCCAATACATTACCTGTAATACCGTGCAATTTTATCTTATGTAGCAGCCTTTGGTGTGGCACCTTGTCAAATGCCTTCAGGAAATCCAGATATACGACATCCACGGGTTCCCCATTGTCCACCATGCAAGTAATGCCCTCAAAGAATTCCAACAAATTAGTTAAACATGACCTACCCTTCATGAACCCATGCTGGGTGTTCCCAGTGGGACAAGTTATATCCAGATGTCTTGCTATTTCTTCCTTAATGATAGATTCAAGCATTTTCCCCACTACCGAAGTTAAGCTAACTGGCCTATAGTTACCGGCTTTTTGTCTACTTCCTTTTTTAAACAGTGGCGTCACATTGGCTATTTTCCATTCTGCGGAAACCACCCCAGAGTCCAGTGAACTTTGGTAAATAATTACTAGTGCATTTGCTATTTGCCCCATCACCTCTTTTAGTACCCTGGGATGCATTTCATCAGGGCCAGGAGACTTGTCTACCTTTAGCCCCATTAGCTTGCCCAGCACTGCCTCCTTAGTGATAATGATAGTTTCTAGGTCCTCACCTGCTATAACCTTCTTGCCATTAGTTTTCGGCATGTTATTTGTGTCTTCCACTGTGAAGACCGACACAAAATAACTGTGTAATGTCTCGGTTATTTCCTCATTCCCAGTTATTAAATTGGCCTTCTCATCCTCTAAAGGACCAATGTTTACCTTCGCCACTCTTTTACGATTTACATATTTATAGAAACTTTTGCTGCCTGTTTTTATATTCTGAGCTAGTTTACTCTCATAATCTATCTTACTTATCTTTATAACTTTTTTTGTGGCTTTCTGTTGGCCTTTAAAGATTTCCCAGTCTACTAGTTTCCCACTACTCTTTGCTTTTTTGTCCGTGTTTTTTTTCAATCTGATACTTTCCTTTATTTCCTTAGACATCCATGGCTGGCTCTCTCTTTTCCTACAGTTCTTCCTTACCACTGGAATATACTTCTCTGAGCACTGTGAAAAATGGTTTTGAAAGTCCTCCACTGTTCCTCAATTGACCCACCATAAAGTTTTTGCTCCCATTCTACCTTAGCTCACTCCTTCCTCATTCCTTCATAGTCTCCTTTCAGCCTCATCAGGACCCTATACAGCTGCAGCATAGCCTCCTTGTTTTTAAACTCCATCCTTGGAGCAATGGCAGACAAAATTCCATTTGCCTTTTTAATCACCTGCTGCACCTGCAATCCCACCTTCAGTGATTCATGCACAAGGACATCCACGTCCCTCTGCACAGCAGCGTGCTGCAATTTTTTGGAATTTAATGGAATAATAACATAAGAACATCGAGCAGGAATAGGCAATTCAGCCCCTCAAGCCTGCTCCATCATTTAATACGATCAAGACAGATCTCATAGACTCAGTGTCATACAGCACACTTGTCAGTCCAACTTGTCCATATCAAATCATAAGACCATAAGACATAGGACCAGAAATTAGGCCATTCGGTCCATCGAGTCCACTCCATCATTTAATCATGGCTGATAAGTTCCTCAACCCCATTCTCCTGCTTTCTCCCCTTAACCCTTGATCCCCTTGATAATCAAGAACCTATCTATCTCAGTCTTAAATGTACTCAATGACCTAGCCTCCACAGCCTTCTGTGGCATTGAATTCCATAGATTCACCACACTCTGGCTGAAGAAGTTTCTCCTTATCTCCGTTCTAAAAGGTCTTCCCTTTACTCTAAGGCTGTGCCCTCGGGTCTTAGTCTCTCCTACCAATGGAAGCATCTTCCCAACACCCATTCCGTCCAGGCCATTCAATATTCTGTAAGTTTCAATTCGATCCCCCCTCATCCTTCTAAACTCCAATGAGTATAGTCCCAGAGTCCTCAAACATTCCTCATATGTTAAGCTTTCCATTCCTGGGACCATTCTCTTGAAACACCTCTGAACCAGCTCCAGGACCAGTACATCCTTTGTGAGATATGGGGCCCAAAACTGCACACAGTACTCCAAATGTGGCTTGACCAGAGCCTTATAAAGCCTCAGTAGTACATCCCTGCTTTTATATTCAAGTCCTCTCAAAATAAACGCCAACATTGCATTTGCCTTCCTGACTACTGACTCAACCTGCAAATTTACCTTGAGAGAATCCTGGACTAGAACTCCCAAGTCTCTTTGTACTTCAGACTTCTGAATTTTCTCCCCATTTAGAAAATAGTCCATGCTTTTATTCTTCTTACCAAAGTGCATGACCTCATACTTTCCCACATTGTACTCCATCTGCCACTTCTTTGTCCACTCTCCTAACCTGTCCAAATCCTTCTTCAGCCTCCCCATCTCCT